GGACCAGCACCTCTGGTGCGAGGTCTGCCAAGCCCTTTTCAGGGCTGGTCATCCACCTCTGGGGTCTACCTTTCACCCAACTCTCACCTGTGACTCCAAGAAGCTGCAGCATGCGTGGTGGCCACACCCCAGTAACACTGTCTCAGCAGATGGGTTAAATGAGGCCTCAAACCCATCAGTGAGATAGGGGATGCCTACCCAAGCAGAAGAAGACTTCCCCCAGTAGAATAGGCGGACAAGAACAATTTGTTCCAATGGGCCACGAAGGTAACTGAAGCAGGCACCAGGGAGTGTCTACAGCTTGACATCAGATATCGATGACTCTGGAAGAGAGAACGAGGCTGATGACTTTATGGAACTCTGCCTCACCGAAGTCCTATTCGTACGTAAGTCAGGACATCACCCCATGATGTCATTGGTCCTCTTTGAAAACAAACAAAAATAATTGTATTAATAGATATGAAGACTTGTTTAGCTCCCTACAGTCCACCATAATTTGCTGAGTACTATCTGCATTCCTTACGGGCCACACAGTGTTGTTGTGAGGGGATCTGGTATAATGAAATGAGCCAGCTTCCTTCATCTCCATCACTAGAGAAGAACTTTCTTTCTCCCTCCAGGTGATTCAATCTTATTTGGCATTATTAACTACATGGAGTGGTTAAGATAACTCTAAGGCTTTCCATTTGGTCCTACCCACAGTAACATGGTACTGAAAGGGCTCTCATAGATACTGACTCCCAAGAGCCCATAACGGCCCTCTGTAGCCTCCCCTGAGTGATCCAGGTATTGAAAGGATTTTTGCAGATGGCTCAAGCTTGGTTGGAGCTGAAGGACCCCTAGTTGCCCTGGTGCTAAATTCCCTGTACAGCTTTACCAGTACCACCATGGGCTGGCCACTGATTGCTTTCTAAACCCCATTTCTCAAGAGCCAAAACTAAAGCTCCTCCAAGAGAGTACCATAGCACTCTGCCCACCTAAAAGGGCAACAGGCTCTGTGACTTCCTCCATTACCAGAGGGCTTATGCATACTAACCAAGGTATTTACCCAAGCCACAGCTATCCCAGCCTCCTGCTCAAATTTTACCAACTGATCAGTCCATATCTGTATAGTTGGGTGGTGGAAGCGACCAATAACAAAGTCTGAAGCCATTCTAGGGGGCTCCGCCCACGTGACCGGGTCTAATTCCCCATCCCAATCCCACCCCAGATGGACCATGGGGAGGAGGATTTCCTTTAACTTCACCCCCTCCCTTGCAGACCCTCGCTCCAGTATGTCAGGTTTCTGTTGGAACTTGTCCTGGTACGATGCCAGCTCCTGATAGGAGAAGGTCCACCCAACCCTGTTCCTTGGAATAAAGAATCGCCTTCCTACAGGGAGCAGTGATGAGATACTTCTGGGGCTTTTTTTTTTTTTAACCACTGGTGGGAGTTCTAAGATTCTTCCTCATTTTCTCACTCTTCCTCATTCTGATAGCTCCAATCTCAGCAGGAACTACAATATCTGGGTCAGAGTATACCATAGTAGGCTTCTGGGTGGAGCCCCAACACCTTGAGGAGAGATCCCTTCCATCCTCCAGCCTCTACTGACCTAATGTTCTCTCTGCCTTAGTGGGAGTCTATTCTTTGACCCATAGAAAGGACTCCCTATACACAAATCAAAAGGGTTTTTCAAGTGACTGAGTGCCATGCAATGCCCTGCCATTCAAACACCTCACCTTCCATATTTGTACTGCCCTTCCCACAACTGTGAGTCACAAGGGCATCCCATCTCATCCTAATTATCACCCACGCCAGATGTTAGGGTTGGGCCTGACACCAGCACCCTGTTAGTTCAGGTTCAATGTAGAACAAAATGAGACACTTACACGTCACTGGAATAGTTAACAAATGCTAGGTGATGCAACAAGGGCACTGGGCCTGGAATGAGAAAGACCTGAATTTAAATCCCACTCCAGAACCTTACCATCTGGGCAAATCACTTAATCTCTGTTTCAGTTTCCTCAACTATAAAATGGGGACATCATAGGGGTTTTGTGAGGATCAAATGAGAGTATATTTATAAAGGGTGTAGCACACAGCAGGTACTTAATAAATGCTTGTTTTTTTTTCCATGATCCTGGTAGCACCTTGTCCAGCACTTCTCAACCAAGTTACCTTCCCTGAGTTGCTCCGGACAGATTTCCTATGGAACAGCCATGGTTGATCATTTCCAATTTACCTCTCTGCTGGGTCTGCCTCCCCACATCACAGATTGATTCCTCACCCTAGTTCACCTAGAAATGGATAGCAGCTGCCAGGGTCTGTGACAGTAAGAATATAGATGTCTAAGTCTTTGGAGGTTTATAAGAAACCTTAGTAAGTGGTAACTGACAAAAAATGGTTATCAACAACTTCTGTTCCCACAGACTAGCATACCTTTTGGCAATAAGGAAAAGTTTATGATCATTATGGACCCTCAAGGCCTATAGAAATGTTGGCACCCTCTGGGAACAATGAGAAATGAAACTTGAGGACAGACTTCAGTTCCCACTCTATGGTTTGGAAAGTGATATAATTAAACTCTGTAAGAATTATTATAAATATAACTGGGGAAGTTCCAACCAGGGTAGGGTGGGAAAGAGTCAGTCAGTGAAATGGAGATGAAGAGGAAAAGTATTCTAGGTATGGGGAACAGCCAATGAAAATGCCCAGAGTCAGATGGGACTGATTTAGTGAGTAGGGGCAAGTTTTGACTTTTTAAACTGGAATCTACAGAAAGGGTGTTCCATTCCAGCAGATATTGGGCACCTAAGTCTCATCTGGGTTAAATCTTGGATTACAAGATGTTTAATTAGTAAGTTTAAATATAACACAATTTCTACAGGTTTTTTTTAATAGTGTCCTCATATACCTGGGATCCATCTCTCTGCCAACAATAATCTGCATGGGCAACTTCTCCTTGACTCCCTTCAAAAATAATTTGCTAAAATTTCTTCTGTTACAAGGAATCTATATTTAAAAGTACTCCTCATAGTTTTAAAATGTCTCGGTGAATCGATTTGGGGCCAAAAGGTTCTTATTTTCAGTCAAATTATTTCACTAGTTTCAGATTTGTAGAATGTCCTTGACAGTTTCCCTCCAAAATTGTAAGGTCTTCATAGGCACAGCATAAACATTAATTTCGTAAGAAGGAAAGGTGATTTAGACTGATCTTTCAGGCATTTATCTTTCGTTCTTGAAAACTAGTTTGGAACAAAGGAGGTCACAGCTTCATCTTGTTATCATTAAACATATCTAAAAAGTCACTTTTTCTGGATGAAGAAAAATACAGACCAAACTCTTCCTTTTTGACTATTCTCCCTTGGTTATCAGGTACATCAGACACTTGTGCATGCTTATTGCCCACCCCCACCCCCACCCCACCCCCCGGAGCATGAGAAAATTAACTCAGCCTTTGGAAATATTAACTTGGGGAAAAGTGAGTAAAGAATTAAGATTTGTCTGATTTAACCTGTTATTGTCATGCTGGTTTTTAATGATTGCTGCTTCCCTTTCAAAGGGCTCATTTTGCCATGAATTCAAGTCAGATTCAATGGTCTCTGGCAGTGGCTCCCAAAGAGGGGTCTCTTAGGGAATCTGGGAGGTCAAAACTATCTTCATAATAATTATAAGGTATTTTAATTTCTAATTTGGTAAATATTGACAGATATAACCCACCTAAAAAGTGCATTAGGGGGTTCTCAATCATTTTTAAGAGTGTAAAGGGGTCCTGAGACCAAAAGTTTGAGAACTGCTGATCTAAAGTTTGTAGCCTTGACCCTGTCTTTAAAAAAAAAAAAATCAGAATATTTGCCATTCTCTTGTACTAATTCACCTCTCCATGGGCCACTGACAGTGACCCCGACATTACACCCATCCATTCATTCAGGACCCTGCCATGTAAATTCATCTGGGCTACATCAGAGCTGGAACAGACCTTAGCAACCATCTAGTATAAACCCATCATTTGACAGATAAGGAAAATGAGTCTTCTTTACATTTTTTTGTTGTTGTTCAATCATTCAGCTGCATCCGGACTCTTTGTGACCCTGTATGGTGTTTTCTTGCTAAAATACTGGAGTGGTTTGCCATTTCCTTCTCCAGTGGAGTAAGGCAAGTGGATCTGGTGAATTACGGTTACGTGACTTGCCCAGGGTCACCCAGCTAGTGTCTGAGGCCAGTTTTGGACAGAGGTCTTCCTGATTCCAAGCCTGGTGCTCTATTCGCTGAGCCACTTTTCTCCCCTCCAAATATGCAATGATCCAGCATCACTGGCTTTCTTGCTATTCTCACACCCTGCACCTCCCTTGTCTTTTCTCTGGCCATCCCCCCCAAACTGGAATGCACTCCACCTCCTCACCTCCACCTCCTGGATTCCCTGGCCTCTTTCAAGCCGCAGCACTGATCCCACCTTTGACAAAAAACCTTTCCCAACCCTCCTCAACCCAGCCTCGCCTTTCCCCTCCTCACTTTCTAGAGTGAGATTACATGGTTTTATATGTACATATTTGTTTTCATATTGTCTCTCCAATTAGAGTGTGAGCTCCTTGTGGGCAGGGACCCTGTTTTGTGCCTTTGTGTCCCCAGTGCTGATCACCACTCCTGGCACATAGCAAGTGCTTAATAAATGTGTGTTGATTGACAAGTGACTTGCCCAAGGTCACACAGGTAGGGAAACAGCAGAAATGAATTCTGAATTGAGGTCCTGTGAACTCCAAATCCACCATCACAGTGCCCCTAATGACTACCTGAACCTCTTAAACTTGAATTACTTGAAGCAGGTAGAGAGATGCTATTTGTCTGTCTCCTCACATATCTTCAGCTTTCAATCCCACTAATCATTTTTGCTCCTCTCACCATAGCTGATGTCTATTTTCTTACTATGTTTGCCTTCTCTTCAACATCCTCTGGCTTATCAAAGTCCTTCCTAAAATACGGTATCCAGAACTGATCACAGTATTCCAGATGTGCTTGATGAAGGCTGAATACAGGGAGAATTTTTGCAAGGAATTGAAGTTCACTAGTCTATATTTTGCAAGTAGAACTTTCTTCTCTACGAAAATCAGAACATTTGCCCCTCTCTAGTCCCGTGGCTCATTTCTCCCTCGTAGTCTTTGTTTTCTGGCAGGAAAAGGGAGAAGGAAAGTAGGGAAGATTTATTTTTGAAATAAATTTTATTGATATCTTTTTTTAAACATCATCTAAATTTCCCCCTGTATCTCCTCTGTCCCCAGAGATCCATCCATATAAGAGATTTTTTTTAAGTAGAAGAGAAAAAAGTCAGAAAAACTGATCAATACATTGAAAAACATCTTAAAACATCTATACAATGTTCCACACCCACGGACCCCCACTTTTGCAAATGAGTGGGACCAAACTTGCTCTCTGTAACTTTGCAACATTCACTCCTGGTTCTTTCGTGGTGGCTCTTCTTTCCATTTACATTGTTGTACTCATCACATACATTGTTTTGTGTGGTCTGATTTCTTCACTTTGCTTCAGTTCATATAAATCTTTCTGTGTTGCTCTGTATTAATTATATTTGTTATTTCTTACAGCACAATAATAGTCTATTACATTCACATACCACAATTCAACCATTCTCCCATAGAGAGGCATCTACTTCGTTTCTAGCTCTTTGCTAAAACAAAAAGTGCTGCAATTAATATTTTGATGCACACAAGGCCTTTCTTTTTATCAGTGACTTGCTTGAGGTCCATACCTAGTAATGGAATCTCTGGGTCTGAGGGTAGGGACATTATAGCCATTTTATTTTCCTGATACCAAACTGCTTCCCAAAATGATTGTACTAATTCACAGCTCTATCAACGATGCATTAGTAATGCTATGTTTTCACAACCCTTCTAACATCTACTATTCTTGTCTTTTGTCATCCTTGCCCACTTATTGCGTGTGAACACTGGAATCTCAGGGCTGCTCTGATTTCCGTTCCTCTTACTTGCAGCTGGCTTCATTCTTCCAGAGTTGTTAGTCGTTTGTAATTCTTGTGAAGACTGCATCCTCTGGCCACTTGTGTAGTCCACATATTTGCTCTTAAATATTTCTTAGCTGTCTATACATGTTGGATGCCTAATCCTTAAAAGAGAAATATGATACAAATAGTTTCCCATTTGACCATTTCCCTTCTTATCCTGCATTAATTTTATGCAGAAACGTTTCAACTTTAAGTAATCAATTTATTTTAACTTTTGTAGTTGCCTCTAGCCCTTGTTTGGTGAAGGCTACATCTCCTCCCCAAAGATGTGAGAAGTATATGATTGGCTTTTCCTCTAGCCTTCATGATAGTTTAATGGCTGCCAACTTGAGCAGTCCCACCCACCAGTTCCCTCCTTAACTTAGGATGGAATGAACCTGGTCCTCTTAATCCTACTGCCTTTCCCCGGTTGATTATTTCCCATTAATCCTGTATATAGCTTGTTTGTACATATTCGTTTGCATGTTGTCTCCCTCCTCCTGGAGAGCAGAGCCAGCCTTTGCCTTTCTTTGTATCGCTAGGGCTTAGCACAGCACCTGGAATATGGCAGGTGTTTAATAATGATTACTGACTGAAAAAGAGAGTGAACTGAACTCATCAAGGGGAGCTAGGTGCTCTCCATTTTCCTGTTTAAAAATAAAAGGTGTAAGTATTTAAAGAAAACGCAAGGTGCAAGACTTAGCTGGGCCATGGAGAATCAGCAAAGTGGACAAAGAGGAACGAGGAAGACTGTCAGCGAAGAGACACTAATGGATATGTGTGTGTGTGCGTGAGCACGCATGCATGCACGCACATGTGATAGAGAGGGGGAAAGGGAGACTGAGTCGGGGGAGGAGAGGACAGGGAGAGATATGTGGGACAGAAGCCACAGAGAATGGGAGAAATGTCAGAAGGACAGGAATAAGCAAATACTGTTCCAATTTAAAAAAAAAGATGAAAAGGAAGATTTAGGAATCTACCAACAAATGAGTTTCGAGAACATTTAGGAAAGAAAACGGTAATCACCAGGTACTAGCATGGGTTCACTAAGAACAAACAGTCTCATTTCCTTTTTCATAAAAACTAACAGACCACTAGTTTTGCCTTCTGAGGCCACACAAAATAAGTCTAAGCCCTTTTTCCACATCACAACCCTTTTAAATACTTGACGACAATTCTCATGCCCTCATCACCTTCTGCTCTAAGTCATAAGGAAAACTCTTCTATTTTTTGGATAAACTGTGTTAGAATGTTGAATGTATCATGTGTTGTGATTTTAGTATCTGCCTGTGCTGAATTGAACTAAATTATAGTAATATTATGTGCAGAGGCAGTATGTACTGCATGCCTGAAATTCACTTCCTCCTCATAGAATCCATCTCTCCTTTCAAGATGCAGCTTTAACATCACCTTTACAAGCCTCTCCCTTCTTGATCTTACCTCCCCCCTACTCCTAAGCTTGTGCACTCTCTCTCAAACTATCTCGAATTTATTCTCTGCATGTACTTACATATGTACTTATTTTTTTCACATGTTAGAAAGTAAATTCCTTGAGAGTAGAGATTGTTTCATTCTTATATTTTCATCCCCAGTCTAGCAGAATGCCTGGCACAGAGTAGATGTTTAATATTTGTTGACTGACAAATAGGAAGATAAAAGTTTATCTTCATCCCCATTAAGTCTTGCACAAAATGATGAAGTTACAAAAAAAAAAACCTCTCAAGTAAGAGATACAGAGAGACCTGCCTACTTGCGTTCATGTGAAAAAGGGCTGGGGTTTTAACTGTCTACAAGCTCAATCTGAGTCAATACTGATAGGTTTGCTCAAACAGCTAATGCAGTCCTAGGCTGCAGTAACAGTTGACTAACAGTCTCATGGTATTCTGTGTTAGTCTAACTACATCTGGAGTATTGCATTTAGATCTGGGTACCACATTTTAATGATACTGACAACTGGAAAAGATTAAAAATCATGTCACATCTCTGAATATTCAGAGTTTGCCCACCCTTCAAGGTCCAATTCAAGTTTTGATGCTGCTGTGCTTTTTCTGGATTCATATTTACTCCTTACCCATGAAAATACAAACTAGGATGGATCTGTGGGCTTATGGATAAGGATGTTCCCTGTGACACAAATCACAGCCCACCCCTGCCTGTCCCTCCAGTACAATCCTTGTAGGCTATCCTGTGTCATCCATCAGCTCACCAGCAGGGAAGGGAGACAGTGTTACCCAAGATGCTGCTGGGAGCCTCCTTTCTTTTTCTTGACACTGCAAGGAAACCAGGTATGTATAGGTTGACCAGTGGTTATCTCTACTTGAAGTCATATAATGGTTGAAGAACCCCAGGTCTATTTAGCCTAGAGAGGAGATGACACGGGGCTCAGGAGGCACAAGAATGAGGATCGAGAGAAGAGGTGATTTATAGAGTAATTTAATATTGCAAAGTGCCTTATGTGATCTCATTGACTGAAAAGCTACACTATTCAGATATTATCATCTCCATTTTATAGATGGGGCAGTGTGGCTTAGTGGAAAGAATGCTGCATTTGGAGCCAGACAACTTCTGTTCCAATCTCACCTCTGTGATCATGGGCTAGTCACATAAAATGTGTGGGTCTCAATTTCCATCTCTGCAGAGACAGCATTGGACCAGATGGCCCCCAGGGTTCTTTCCAGCTCTACTAATTCTATAAGGAAACCAAGGCTTAAAAAGATAGTGACTTTGCTATGATGACACAACTAGCATGAGCCCAAGACAAGATGAAAATCAGGGTCTTCCTGAATCCAAGTCCAGAGCTCTGTTCACTCTGCTAGGCTATACTCTCTCTCCTCATCAACAGCTTCAAGTATTTAAAGGGTTGTTACCTGGAAAAGACAAAGGCTTTTCCCTCTTGGCCAGGTGGCACACTGAATAGAGCACTGCACTTGGAGTCAGAAGACCTGAGTTTGAATCCTACTCCAAATACTTGTAGGCTAGGTGACCATGAATCAAGCCCCTAGACCACTTTCAGCACTTTCCTTATCTGTGAAATTCAAATAATAATAGTAGCAGCCTCCAAGGGTGGTTGTGAGGTTCAAATGAGAGAACTTACGTGAAGGGTTTGGCAAACCTTGAAGAGCGATACAAAGACTAACTACAGTCATCTCCAGGGGGCTCTTCCTTCTTCTACTAGGATTAAATGGATGGAAGTCACGGGGAGGCAAATGTATGCTCAATATCCAGAGAAACATTCCAATAGCTGGAATCACACAAAAGTGGAATAGAATTCTTTGTGACTTAGGGGGATGATGGTAACCCCTTTCAGGTATTTGAGGACCTTCATCTGGAAGAGGGATGCCATTTGTTCTCCTTGCACTAGAGGATAACATTAGAAGCAATAATTAGCAGTGGAAACAGTTAGATTTAGGCCTGGTGGAAAGAAAAAATTCTTAACAAAGATATCCAAAAATAGAATGGTTGCCTCAGGAGGTAATGGGTTCCCCCTTATTGGAGGTCTTCCAGTAGAAGCAGGATGGCCACTTACTGGGGATATGGAGAGGGGATTCTGTTTCAGGGGCAAAATCAGACTAGACAGCAATCATGCTTCCAGCCATGAGATTCTATGAAGTAGTAAGCTCTCCATCATGGAGAGAATTCAAGGAAAAGATACATGCTCCTGTATCAGTGGGGAGTTAGACAAGGTCCATCAAGGTTCCTTCCACCATGGAAATCCAATGAATCTCCTAGGAGGCAGGGTGCTTGACTATTTTTCTCCTTGGCGAAAAAAAGTATAAATCTCCCTATTTAACCTTTATTGATAGATAGATGGCTAGATAGATGCTAAGACAGATAAAATAATTAAATGAATGAATTCTTAGTCCCAATGCTTAATGTTTGAGTCTTAATTATTAATGGTTAACAACATGGAAGAAGACATTCCCTTCCATGGTACTAAGAAACACGTGAAAAATTCACCTTCACAGATGATGTCAAGTTTCATTTTGCTGGCTATTTTGTCTTAGTCCTGGCAAATGCCTGTCACTGGTTAGATGTTTGACTGGTTAGTACCATTTTCTAGCAGTCTAACCCTGGTTCTTATCTAATCAATGCTTGCTGAATTAAATTGAATAGAAAACATGCTTGGAAATTGTCTTGATAGCTGCCTGTGTTCTTAGGACACTGGGATTCTTTCCTGCTCCTAGGGCATTCAAAGCTAATGAGGCAATCTTCAAGCATGTAGGACACGCATGAGTTGGATCTCTCTTGGACATGGATTTCATTGGAGATTTGTTACATACTTTAGTCGTGGTCACGTGATTCACACTGGTGCTAGAGGCTAAGCTCCAGAGGGTGGAGTAGAATGATATTTACACCAACAAGTTAGGCTTTGATAAAGAAGGCAAGATATAAAGGATGTGAGAAAGGAGGGACCATTTTGAGCTAAATGTGTTGGAAGGAGGGAGATCAGTAAACGCATCATGAAGGGGGCAAATGTAGCACCTCAACTGATTCTTAAAATAAAGGAATGATTTTACTTGGTGGTGCCAAAGATGGACCACAAGCCAGGAAAGGAGAATGGCCTCTTTCTATGGAGAAGGTAGGACAATATCATGGAGGAAGAATATAACTTGAAGAGTCTAATTTGGTTAGAATATAGTGTATGAAAGAGTATGATCTACAACTGGAATGGTAAGCAGTAGCCAAGTTGTGTACATTAATGGCAGACTAAGGAGTTTACCTGCATCTTATCTCATACGGAACTACTAAAGTTTCTGCGTTGGTCTTTTTTTGTCTGTTTTGTTTTCTAAAGCAGGTTAAGTGACATGATCGACCTGCATATTAAGAAAGGCAGCAATCAGCACCACTGTGCTTTACAAAGTGCTTTCCTGACCACAGCTATGAGGCAGGTAAACCAAGTATTTTCCACATTTTGCAGATGAAGAAACGGGCTCAAAGAACTTAAATGAGGTGTACATAGTCACTAAGCTGAAATTTGAATCCGCACATTCAGATTCCAAATATGGCACTCGTTCCACTACACTACACAGCGGCAAACTAAAGGATGTTGTTGGTTGTCCTTCATTCTCGAAGAGAACCATAACATCAGGGAGGTGATGCCACGACATGCAAGGGAACTGGATTTAAGTAAGGGAGGGCTAAGCAAAGTCACCATTCTCACTCTCTTCTCCAGAGACATCCAGGTCCAGTTGCCAGATCTCAATCAGGAGGACTGAAGATGGCCCAGAAGGCAGTGGGAGACTTTCGACTTTTTAAGCTAACGTCTTTCCCAGGTCTTGTCTGACTGAGGCAATGCCCGTTCACACTAAAGGATGGACTCGAGTTGAATGGGCAGCCTCACTCAATGTCTTCCAGTAAAAGCTGGAGGAGTACCTGACAGGTATGGAGTAGAAAGCATTTTTGTTAAAATACACGTTGCACTAGATGGCCTCTAAGTCCCTCCCAATTCTTCTGGGATTCTGAATGGAGAGAAATTGAAGTGCATACAGTGGAATTAGGAAAATGTTATTACAGTAGTCTAGGTTCTGAAATTAGGTGGTGGCAGCAAAAATAGAGAGGTAGACACAAAATACTGTGGAGAGAAAACTAGTAGAACATGTGAGAAACTGGTTGGCTACTGGAGGTGAAAGAAGACAGAAGACCTCCTGGAAATCAAGTAGTGACATTAAAAAAAAAAAAGCTGAGGAGGAACAGGTTTAGGGGGAAAGCTGAGGCAACTATAAGTGTCACAGTACATCCACTAAGAAGGCCTGAGTTCAAATCCAGCCTCAGACATTTATTAGCTGTGGGACCCTGGGCAAGTCACTTCACCTCCATCTGCCTTGTTTTCCTCATCTGTAAAATGGACATAATAATAGCACCTACTTCTTGGGGTTACTGTTAGGATCAAATGAGATGTTTGTAAGCACTTTTGCAAACTTTAAAGTGCTATATAAATGCTATCATTGGCATCATCATCATCATCATCATTATTACTATTATCGTCATTAGGTTTTAGGTTTGAGACTGTCAAACTTGAGGTGCAGGTAGGACACAGAAGTGGAGATGTTTTAGCAGTTAAAGATGCAAGACAGGACATCAGCGAAAAGATTGATTCTATACATATATACTTGGGAGCCTTCCAGGAAGATAATTATACCCACAAAATGCAATGAGGTAAAGGAAAAGACACGTTCTCTCCCTTGGGCCTCAATATGGTCTTTTGGCTGAATAATTTAAAATCTGGCATAACGGCAACATTTGATTAATGGGATCAGATTCAAAATGATCATTGTGGGTTAAACTGATAGCCCAGCTACACCTAAGAAGCTGAAATTTAACAGGTATAAAGTTCTATACTTGGCTCAAAGAATCTTCTCAAGTATAGGTTAGGGGAAATGTGGCTGGGCAATGGCTGCGTTAGTGGTCTACAACCTTAAAATGAGTTTAAAGTATTACATAACTCCCAAACCTTATCTTATCACAGAAACTCAGTGTACACTCTACTAACGTACTCTGGCGGTTTATCTATCCAACACCTCGAGTAGTGCCTTACATGTGATTTCTTAATAAACTCTTGTGGATTGGATTTGTCATAATAAATTTAAGGGAAAGGAAAGGGAATACACATTTATATAGTGCTTACTATGTGCCAACCACTATACACAATTATTATCTCATTTGATCCGCACAATAACCCTGGGAGGAGAGGCGCTATTATTATCCCCACTCTACAGTTTAGGAAAATGAGGCAAACAAGTTAAATGAGTTGCCCAGGGTCACACAGATAATTAAGTTTCTGAGGTCAAATCTGAACTCGGGTCTTCCTGGTTCCAGGATCATGATACAAAGACCAAAATGGCAGTCCCTGTCCACAAGGTGCTCACGTTCCATCACAGGAGACAACACGGACGTACAGATGCACCACAAGTATATAAAATAAGCAACTACAAGATCACAGGAAGTTGGGAGGCGGAGGCATTAACGCTAGGAAGATCCCACCAGGTCTCATAGAGAAAATGATCCTTGAGCTGAGCTCTGAAAGAAATGAGGGCTTCTCGAGGGCAGAGGGGAGGAGGGAGGGCACTTTAAATGCAAACAGAATCTGTATTTGACCCAGGAGCTCACAGGAAGCCAGGGTTTAATGAGTTCACACCTGTGCTTTAGAACATAACTTCACCAGCTTTCAGGAAGACGGGCTGGAGAAGGGAAGGTCTTAAAGCAGGAAGAACAATTAAGAGTATTTTGCAAAGTTTGAACTAGGTGATAGTTGTGTGAGTGGAAAGATGAGGTCAGATGCTATAAATGTTTCAGGAATAACCTTCCCTACTTGGGTTAGGTCAAGCAGTAGATCACATCTTCTGACCTTTAAAAAAAAACCCTTAGTCATAACTTTCCACCATTAAGCCATTACCACCTTTCAGAAGTTCCAATTGAGAATGATGTCTAGGTCAGTTTTATTACATTATTTCCAAAATAAAAATGTCTTCAAGTGGAATTTCCTTAAGACTTTCTGCATCCCTTTTCATACATATTTAAATTTTGTACTATAATGTATTGTCTTATCAACGGTTCGTGTTCTATTAAATATCACAATCATCAAAAATTTAATTTGATTTGAAATTATTTACACTTTCAAGTCTGGGTTTTCAAAAAGTTTCCTTTCTTTTTCATTCTGATAGTCTCCTCGATTCCTCAGTGACAGTTTTCCTCCAATCCTATATAATGGCCTGACAATAACCTAGGTTCATGAAGAAAGTAAGCAGAGTGTAAATTCTGACGGGTCCTAACGTATTGGAAAGGCTCAGGTGATGGGCACAGTGACAAATACTGTCTTCACAAGCAGCCAACAGGCTCACTGACAGCAGGCTGGGCAGCAGGTAACTAAGATTTTTGGCCTCAGCAACTTCCAAAAGGTGGAAACTTGCATTGGTGGAAGAAGTACTGACATCAATGAAATAATTACTGACTTTCTGAAATATGCAAATAATTCCCTGTTATAGTTTCACTCATAATCCTTTTTCCTTATTCCACTGTGCTTTGTGAATGAGAAGAAGTTAAAAGGATTTTGTTATTTTTTTTCCTTACATGGCATCATGATCTGGGTTTCTAAAGCTTATTTTTACGCACAACTCTCACAAGAATTTTTCTAAAATTGTAGCAAGTAGGTGTTATGTCCCAAAGGGAAGCTGAAGCTCTAGACACTGAGTAAGTTGGAGTAGAAGCAGACCCAGGCATTATAATTTCCTAACTTCTGAGATCCTCAGTACTACAGAAAAGGAAGCACCTGTACCAGCTCAGGAAAATCAAACTAAAACCCCAGCTTTTCGTCACCATTTTAGTCTTGTGATTAAAAAACAAAAACCCTTCAAAGTTCCAAATAAACTATGAGCAAATGTTGAGAAAAGGGTGATATTTATAATTATCCATTTTATTTTTATTCACTATAGCAACACTTTCAGGAAAGAGTCTTTACATAAGGGTTTTTCTACTTTACAAGCAAATTGCAATATACAGTATATATCTGGATGGATTAAAAAAAAAGACAAAGGGGAAAACAAACACTGAAAGTATCAATGGTTGTTATTTTTGTCTTATAGCTAGCATCGAACTTAAGACTTTAAATAACAGAATGTTATTGGATTTGGCATTCTGTTCTTATTGTGATAATTTGACATCTAAGGAGGCAGTGAAGCAGCTTTATCACAGCAGTGATCAAAAGTATACTGCATGTTTATTTAATGACAAAATTTAGATTATTTTTAAATTTGAGCTTTCCATAATGTATCAAAACTCATGCTGCCACATTGAAACGAAAGAGACGATATGGAAGGTTCATTTGAAAATGCACTTTGAGTGTACGAATTAAGAAAATATAATGTGGTTTCCTCCAATCTCCCTCCATACTGACATTATTAAGTCCATGAGGAATTTCAAAACGTGTTTATGAAACATACATGCACGTCACCATATCTACCTCAAAAACCCAACCCCTTTAGCAGCATGAAAAACTGTGAACCTGTGCAGGCTTACTGATTCTCATTTCAATTGTGTTTAGGGATCCTAAAGTACATTCTCAGTGAATGTGAAATCGAGGAAATGATGACTACTGTGCTCACAAATTGAGATTGTACATCTAGTCTGTAGCATACTAGACTACTATGGGAGTATGTGTAAGCGGCAGTCAGAGGAAAGAAAAAAGATTGTGTGGTATGTTATCAGGTCAAAAACATGGGAAAACAAAGGAACATACAAAGAAAATGTAGTCAAAAAGTGACATGCTTTGTTCAATGCTGTACAGATGCCTTCTTCAAACAGCAACAATTACAGGGAGATTTATTTCAAATAAACAAAAATAGTCACAAACAACAGGAGACTTTTTGATTACTTTAGGCACAACTCTAAGCAATAAAGCTCATTTAAAGTGCAAATATGATTTTTTTCCTCGTATTTTTTCATTTGTTAAAATAGTTAATAAAGGCTCTCTTCCCTATTCAAATACATTGACCAGTAGTCTCATTCTCCTGAAAATATTGCACAAATGAAAATAACAAAAAGAAAAATGCGAATGGGCTTCAGCAATGATTACCATTTGAAGCATTCTAAAAGATTTAACTACCTAATGCTCTAATCAATGCTTTTAAAGTCATCTGCGCCTATACAATTATTTTTAATTTTCATAAAGGAAAAGGACCAATCTTTTCCAGACTTTAAGCCCCAAGAGCCTATCTCCATTAATGAACATTAAGGTGCCTTGTTGATAGGTCTGATTACCCTAAAATGACCATAATGGATACTACATATCAGGAATCTGCTGTAATACTGATGCTTCTCTGTTAGAATTTATGGCAAAGGTAAATCCACTTTTTGAGAAAGTGAGAGGGTGTGTGTGTGTGTGTGTGTATGTGTGTGTGTGTGTGTGTGTGTGTGTGTGTGTGTGTGTGTGTCTGTCTGTCTGTCTCTCTATATTTGTCATCAGGAAGGCCTAAACACTTGTGGCTCATATACCTTCAAACATGCACAGGTGAATGGTTTTCTGACAACTGAAAATGAAAGATGAGTTAGCAAGCATGGGGGGCAAATTGCATTTTATAATTTCAAGTCAAAAAATGTCAAACATTTGCCCATTTTCTTTCCAAAGGGATAGTTACTTCTCACCAGTATATTATTGTTAAAGGAATCATTGGAAATACATGCAATTGATTTCCTGGCCATATTCCCTTTAATTAGTGGTCAGTGGGTACAAAATAAACAAAAAAACCTGACCTAATATTTCTGGCTATCCACAGCACTTTGTAATGGTTACCTCTCTTGGAAACTATTACTCCAGACTGATGCCATTACTGGAGAAATACAAGAAGAAATCTGTAGCCTGATGGCACGAAAACACCACTAGATCTGTGCATGCACTAACTTCTCGGTCCCACAGCTGCCTTGTAAAAGAAAAAAAAGTAACTGAGAGCATCTGTCAAACATTTTAGTGAAAGACTCTTCCCTCCCCAGCTCTAGTTCTTGCACAAGCCCTCCTCAGTTTCTAATTACCTTCCAATAAATTTATCACTCGTGCGCACACCCCCATATAAACAAGGAAGAAAGCTAAAAAGCATAGAAAAGCAAAATCAAAGCTCTTAAAGAGTACCAGCTCTTCTCATGATATCGTGGGCTTGCTTAAAGCAAATCTGTGATTTTTCTCAAAATATTACTTATTAAACACAAGTTTTATTATGCAAAATAGTTTTAAATCCCTATACATACATCAAAGTTTTGTGCAAACATTTCAAGTCAGGTACTTCAGAGTCTTCTGATATTAGCAGAAAGTCAATAAATACAAATATTACAATAAAGTTAAAAGACCTAATTTAAAATATATTATGTAGAACTTTAAACACAGGTATCATGAATCCTTAACCTTATAAGTTCAAGACTCAATCACCAGCAAAACTCTTAGCATCTTCAAGTTTTGCAAATAGATGCATCTTCAGCTCCATTTCCAAAATTTACCCAGTAACAATATCAATTGAACATAAAAATTATGCCAATGAGATGTTACAGCAATGCATAGATGTTTACACATAATATGATGCCCTTCAGCCTGGGAGATTTGCCTGATACTCAGAGAAGGCCAGGGAAGATAAAGCCTCTGAAATACAGTACGAGCCAATAACCTGCTAAGAGATGTGCATTTCTACCAACATCTCTAGCCTTTTAAACGGGTTATAGTCAAAGGTTGGGGTAAACAAAAAACACTCACATTTTAAATCATCATGATTAATAAGGATTATAAAAAGGACTATGTCAGCAAACCATACACCTTGAATATTTAGTGGAATACTGTGGTAAAGCATAAATTTTCGGTGGGGAGTAACAAACTGAATTTTCTTCTGCAGGCCTCTGAGATGGATAAACAAACATCTGTGTTTACCTGAGACAATGAATATTCAGACGGCGTAGGCTTCAACTAGCTTATGGAATTGAATAGCCAAACTAATTGAAGCTTTTAAGTTTTAATATCAAGAACTGCAGGCTTTTTAATAGTGCCTTCACCATGGGAATCAGATGTATGGAAAACAATTATAGCATGAACAAATCTTTCCAAAGAAATGGGCATGTGATGATTATGTCCTTAATGTATCTTTGGCTTAGGGAGACGAGAATACCGTTTAGAGGTCAAACAATCCCCAGAGTGGAAATTGGCAGTCTGATGTTGCATGATCTCTCTTCTTTGTGTCAGTGGCCTTGGGATGTTTGTCTTGCCTTGGAAGTTCTGAGGCTCTTGTTTGGGACTGCTTATTATTTGCTTCTGTTTAAGAGAGGAGACTGAAGGTGGGCGAAGTTTAGAAGCTTTCTGATTCGGCTTACTTATTAAGCTTGTCTGACTCGTTTGAAGTTTTGCTGGATTACATGTTGTTAACTCTGATGTCTTGCAAGCTGTTGGTCTATCGTGCGATGATTCAGAAATGGTCCCTGGAAAAGGTACCAAAGAATTCTCGACTGATGGCTTTTGAAGCCGCAAGGCCTTTGGATGGGCAATACCAGCTATGGGCCAAGCCTGATTTTTCACAGCTTTCTGAGCTTGGTCTTCTCCTGTACTCACTTGGAAAGAGGGTGCAGATTCCAGTTCACTCATTTTATTACCAGTCAACTGATTAGGCTTTGAAACATTCCCTGTCATACTCAGGTGTTCTTCAGAAGGTATATTCATAGCAAATTCCTTCATAATTAATGGTGATTTTAATGACTGGGGCAGTTCTGTGAGGCCATAATCACTTTTTTGTTGAAAATCATCTGCAAACTTTTCATTTAGAGGTTCTACATCCTGATGTAAGCCCACAACAGGACTTTCACTGTGGGCCTCGATGTGTTGTGGCTTTATTAGCTTTCCCTGGGCGTGGTCTGTGGGCCTGGGAAGGTTGCTGGAAGGCTGTAGTACTTGAGGCTGTCAAAATGAAAAACAACATTAACCACAGTAAACTTCAAAAGTAATGCAGTCAGTATTAAGTCCAGGTTGTGCTGATCTGTTGTTTAATGTAGCTTGAAAGCTTGAATATGTTTTTTGTGCTTTAAAAAAAACTGGCAAAAACATAAGTGAATTCATGAAACATACAAGAAGAGTGATTATGCAAACAAAAAGTTATGCTTGCTGAAAACTTCAAAGAAATCCCCAAAATAATCAGGAAAAGGGACAAGTTTAGTGACTGACACTATAGAAAAATTTTTGTCCCATAATTCTACTTTAATAGATCTAAGTGGAGGCAAGAGCTCTTAGCTGATTTCTTTAGTATTATCACCCTATGCATTTGTGTTTAATCAACTCAAAGTAGCCAAGTAACTTAGCACAATTATAAACATGACCACCTCCTCCCCCTTGGAAGGCATTTTATGTACACTAGTTGTATTTGAGTTTGGAATTGTGTTAATCAGCAAATAAACAAGGTTTGATGAAGATCATGTGTGAGGTAAAAATTTATTTCAGGGCAACACAGGTGGATAAATCTAATCTACTTTCAATCTTCCCAGTGAAAAGATTTGGAAAGAAATATTTCCAAAAATGTTTTTGCCCTGTCTGTGACTATGACAGCTTATGCATATCATGTAGTCATGCATGTCCATGCCTAATCATAGACAAAGCTTCCTTCAGATGGCCAGATATTCTCTATCCACACAGAGAGAAACATTTCACGATATCTAAACCAACAACATCAATATGCTTTAATATGTGGTTTAACCTGGGGCCCACGAACTTTTAAAAAATATTTTGATAATTGTATTTCAACATAATTGGTTTCCTTTGTAATCATAACATTCTTCCAAGGAAAGTTTCCCTTCCCTTTTCACTGTCTTTAACCTTCTCATGCAGAAATATGAACTGCTCTCCATTCCCTATTTTCTAAAGTAATATAAAAATTCTAAAAATTAGTGGGAATTTTAACAAATTATTTCAGAGCTATCTTTCTATAATTGGTAAAGAAAAGACACGATTATAAGTATTTGTCAGCTCAAATTATAAAAAGGCAAAGAGGTTTCAGGTTATTAGGTGCCATAAAAACAAAATTCAATTTAATTATGCCTACCCTTCCAAAATAAGGACACTATAAATTGCACCTATAGTAATCAGGTTTTTAAAAAGTCAAAGGAAAAAAGTCAAGTTAACTGTTTAAATAATGGCATGAATGTTAAAATATAAATTTTATATTGGTGAAGAGTTTAATTAAAAATGAATTCACTTAATTTTGAATTACTGACAGTTTAGATAGCTCAAGCTGCAAATGCATACATTTACCCTTGCACAGCTCTTCAAATTCTTAAATACCCCAGTGACCAGAGTTTATCTTAGAAGAATTTAAGCCAAAGTATGAATCTGGTGACTGAAGCTCAAAAAGTCTAGAACCATGAGAATCTCAGACTTGGGAGGAACCTCAAAAAGGGTCTGGTCTATCTACCTAAAGCATGATTTCTCTTTAAAACAATGCTCCTAACTCAATAAAGAGCAAGAAAAAAATGTTTTAGAACAGGCTTGCACAACTTGCATCCTGAAGGCTGCTTGCAGCATGCCAAAGGATTTCTGGTGGCCTGTGAAAAATGCAGAGGAAAACATCCTTTGGATGTAGAGGAAATCCTTGGGCATGCTGCAAGGTAAGTGTTGTGCTGCAAGTTGTGCAGGCCTGTTTTAGGAGAATGAAGGTGTTTGTGTTTTTATATTAAAAATACAACAAAAAATGAATAATTTATATATGAAACAAAAGCCAGCAAGCTATAGGGGGAAGGGTTCTAGATTTCGAGTCAGAGAACATGGATCCTGACTTACGTTAATTACTATCTGTGTTTAACTATCAGTTTGACATCTCTGTAGGCCTCAGTTTTCTCATCCATAAAATGAAGGAAGCTGGTCTCTAAGGCTCTCTCCAGCTTTAGATCTATGATCCTGTAATCCTATGAACTAATCAGCAATCTTAATGACTCCTCAAAAGTAATCAGTGCCGCCAGTTTTCTAAAGAAATTCATTAATGGATTTTACATATTATCATTATTTTAAATTTAGTAATATGACATGCTTTATCTACTCTAAAATAAACGTTTTACTTCTCACCAATGCCTTTGCATAGCATGGAAGTAATCCTGAGTTTATAAAAGCCATGCAATTAAGAATGTAAGCTCTGGCAGGTCCTATACCATGCTGGGAAGGCCTTAAGTTTGGTCCTAAGGACCAACTATGTGTTTTCCAAGGACCAGTTATAGTTAAATAGGAAGGCTCATTACTAGGAGGCTGACCACTTGTCAATGAATTCTTTGGGCACGGCAACCAAATTTGTGTGAAAAACACATGGAACTGCATAGTTTGAAATCAACTCCAGCTATATCTTAGTATATTTTCTTTTACAGAATACTATGGAAGCATTACTAAAACATAAGGGTCAATTTGCCTCTGATATTAGAAAGATTATACAGAAAAAAAGCCAACGACATTATCCTTTAAAGCTAATATTTACTAGACATTAGAACAAACTGGGCAAACTGGCTCCATATTGCTAAGGAAAGAAGAATGGTATTTTTTGATAGCTTAATGAGCCTTTAGGATCTCCTCAAATTAATGTCAACGTCAAAATACCTATTTAAAAAATGTTCAAGGGAGATTGATGGAAAACAACACTATAGTTTAGAAGATTCTGAATGCTGTTTTTTCTTCCCTAATCAGTTTGTAACTAACATATTTTTGTTTCTTGTTACAAAGAAAACTGGGATCAGGGTTAATTACAGACTATCTGAAACACAGCAACTGTATGCTGAACCAAAGCAAGAGACACGGTATTATTCTTCCCCACTAAAAAGTCTACATGCTTCTATAAGAAATAGGCTGGAAAAATGAAGCACAATAAAATAGTCATTTTGTGCTATCTATCCAGTTAGCCTTAGGAAGAGTCTGAAGTTCATCTGTGCTTAAAAAAGGCAAAGGTCCATGTCATTTTCTCAGGTAGGGCATTAGGAAGTGACTTTGAGCATCAGTCTTCATAGAAGGAAAGAGCACTAGATTGGGAATGAGAAGGTCTGGCTTCAAATTCTGCTTCTCGACCTTCCTTACTACTTTGTGACTTTGGACAAATCATCACTTTCCTCATCTCTAAAATGAAGGTGTTGGACTTGATAGAAGTAATTTTTTTTGGCTATAAATTTCTGACCCTATGGTCCTAATCAATCCTCTGGCTCTTTCCCTTCTTCCTCTGTTTTCAACACTAGGCTTCTCAGCCTATGATTCCCACAACATGTTGGTCAATCAATCCAAATATTTTAGAAAAAGCATTACTGGGGAGTAATATTCCTGAGAAGACCTAGAACTGGGATGGCCACAGAGACAAAGGTAGTGAAGGATGCAAATATGGAGAATAACATTCTTAGGTGGAAAGAATTCTCTGCATTCAGTGTTTAATGTCCCTGGAGGTAGCTTTGGTGGTGGGAAGATAAAAATACACTATTTTTATCTCTCTAAACTGATAGTGGAAATTTTCAAGCTGAATAAAAACATTGATCATGTAGCTAATAAGGGAAGAGGCATGACATTGTCATTAAAGGTAACCCAACTCTAAATTGTAGATCTTGGATCCACTTCAAAAGTTTTTGTGCTGTAGGTAAAAGTTGGTTCTCAAGCATTTTGAGGGATTGGGAGGGAAGAAAATGGAGCAATATATAGCATGACTAATTCATGCAGGACTTTGACATGCATGCACCATGCAAAGTGGGAAAAACAACGGGTATGGAAAAAGGTGGTGGGAAGAAATCTGAAATTGTACTGTACCACGCTTTATCATAGAAGTAATGGACTAACTTCTCAACTCCTTGCCAATGGCATAATGGGAAAGCAGAGACAAGAAAAAGACAAGGACAGTGATGTCAGAGGACCAACACACAACAATGAGCAATTGCCACGACAGAATAGCAACTTTGAGGTTTTAATTTCTCCTTTAGGTATCACTACTTATTGAATTTAATAAGCTTTATTCAAAATAAATTAATTTTTAATTCTTACTAACATCTAAAGTGGTATGAGTCAGTTCAAGTAATTATCACCTCAAAAAAAAAACCCTCTTCAACCTAAAGGATTCACATACAGGATCTTTTATCAATGAAAGATGAAATAATCACACCTAAGAGCTGACTGAAATGTATTTTTGTATCATTTTATAAGGAAATGAAAATCAGTGTTAATCATTTCAGATCTCCATCCATCTTGCACGTTAGAACATACACACACAAAGCTTTCTAGATTTCTTCACCAATTCTCCAATTCTTTTATTCATTTCCCCTTGCCACTGCTAAAGTAACAAAGTCCACTGAAGGTGGTTCTCATTTAAGTTTTTATTACAATAGAAGTATGATGCTGTTTTTCTGGGGCCATCAAGAAGCACCCATTCTGTTATCAGCAGACATTCAGTATATATTACCATGTATAACAGACAAAATTTGACCCACAAAAGAACTACATCTGTGCACAGTGTGTGGCTTCATAACAGAAATTTTCTGTATTCATCATCCACCTAATCAGCTTTCAGGATTTCTCAGCAATCAGCATACCCTTTTTCTACTAAGAATGCTGGCTTGGGCAGACCTTAGAAAAATTGCAGGTAGCATCTTATAGCTAAACAAATAAATTACTCTTTGAATAACATGCAATAAAGTAGAATAATACAAAAAACAACTTTTAAAACTATGAGACTAGTTAACAATTTAAGACCAAATAACAGTCTAAGCCAGTTCATCCTTTTCCAGCACATAGCCACTGAACGCTAGTACGACTTAATTTCCCTGGTCTCTAACCTTCACAACATACACCAGAACAGTTTAGAACTGGGCACAATCACTCAGTTAAAATTTGAAAGCTCAATTTCCACATCTAGATGATCAAAATGGACAGAATCTATTTCTTTAAAGTGGAAGTATCTGAGC